GAACTTGTTGTGAGCMTTGGGTCCATGACCTCGTGCTGGACACCAAGGCAGCAAATCCCAGAATGGGTCAGGTTGGACAGGACCACAATGGGTTATCTGGTCCAACCTCCCTGCTCAAGCAAGGTCATCTCAAATCACATTGCACAGGACTGCATCCAGATGGTTCTGAAATATCTTCAATAAGGGAGACTGCACACCCTCTCTGGATAGCCTGGTTCAGTGCTTGGTCACCCACACATTAAAGAAGTTTCTGCTCATCTTTGGTGGAACTTCCTGTGTGTCAGTATCTGCCTGTTCCCTCTTGTACCATTGCTGGACATCAGTGAGCAGAGCCTGGTTCATCCTCTGACACCTCCTTTCAGAGACTCGTAGATATTGATGAGGTTCTCTCTCAGTTTTCTGTTCTCAAGGCTGAACAGGTCCAGCTCCCTCAGCCTCTCCTCATTAAAGAGATGCTCCAGTCCCTTCATCATCTCTGGTACCCTCCACTGGACTTGCTCCAGGAGCTCCATGTCTGTTTTGTCCTGAGGAGTCCAGAACTGGACACAGCACTCCAGATGCCACTCACTAGGCCTAACACAGGGTCACCTCCCATGACCTGCTCTAACGATTATTCATTCTTCAAAAGATGTAAAAACTCTTCTTTAAAGGTCTTCATTTAAATGTCACTTCTCAACTCCCCTATGGAGCAAGATCTTAAAGTTAAAAAATGCTGAAAARGGAACTTTATACAGAGCTGAACTTTTGGGTAGCATATTAAAAGAAGTGTATGCACTGACTCATGCTTGGAACTTGTTGGCAAATGCTGTGATTTGTTTAATCCGCAGCATTGGTAGTGTTTAGTGTTCTCTCTCCACAAAGCTGACACACACATGGCATTCTGTTATCGAGGTACAGGGACCCATGTGCAGAGTGCCCTGGCTTCCTTTAGGGAATGTCAGTCAACCTCACTCGAGTCAGTCTATTCCCAAAAGCTGGAGCTGATGCCCAGGACCCTGCAGAAGTGCTGCCTGGAGGGGGACAGCTGGGTGACCACTTGTGAAGATGGGCACTGGCCACAGCTCCCAGCACAAACACACAGCACTGCAGCAGYACGCTGTTCCCTGACCCTAATGCGTGGTATTCCCACATTTACTGCTGCCAACAGGAGCGTGAGACTTGCTAGGTTGTGAGGGAGATGTCTGGTACAGCCAACTTGAAAAATTGTGGCCTCTTGGCCACTTGAGAGTGCACAAACATCCCAATTTGTCTGCTTTCAGTCAGAAGGTAGACCCTGGGAGATGCCTGCRGTAAGCCCTGTGGACTGGAAAGGCCTCCCATCTCTTTTTTGGTGATACAAGCAAGAAGTTTCTGCATTAGAAACAACAATTTTAAGTGTTGTTGACATTTACAGTGAAGCTGTCCTCCATTCCTTCACATAAATAGCAGAGAAAAAGGCTAGAATTGAGACTTAAGTTRGTTCTCACTGTGTGGTCACTGTCTGCCTAATTTCTAACTATTTCGTTTTTCCAAATGTCTGAAAATTCCAGGGTCAACCTGAAGTCAAGATGTGCTTGGTTTCAGAGAAATCATGCAGTCCCGAGCTGGCTTTCGAGTCTTCTGGTATTATAAGGCAAAGTTGATAGAATATGTCAAGATAACTCAGGATTCTTAGATAAATGTAGTCAACTCCTCCTCTAGATGGGAGAAAAATGTGCAAAGGCTTCTTGCTTTGTTTTTATAGTAAGAGTGCATGCATAGTGGTTGATAGATGAATGGGTTAAATAATCTCCCAYTCTCCCCAATGATCTCAATTCTCCGTGACAAGAAAAAAATATAATAAACAAGCCATGGCTGCAGAAAACTGCAGCAAATTGCTTACCCTACTAATGTGTTCATCTAGAAGGCTTAGGCTGTCTTTTATCCTTGCAAAATTTCTTTCACTCTTTGACTTCCAGTCAGTGGCTGAGCACGGATACTTTGCTAGGAGCAGGAAGGAATTTTTATTTGTAGCATTTATTACATGTACTTGCACCCACTATTATTACTCAGCACATAGGTGTATGAGGCACASTGTGCTCATCACCCTTTCACTTTCCTACCCTGGAGAAAATGTGTCTCACCAATTATCATTACATAATGCACGTGCTCCCCTGGTGCCCAGTTTTCTTTAGTCACAGCCTGGAGCTGAGCCCTGCTTTGTGTCCTGCARGTCCCTGAAATCTGTGGTGATTGCAAGTGACCCTCCACCTTGCCCTGGCTGCAGTTAAAAATCCTGCCACTGGTTCCTTGCTGTTCCTCATTCTTTTGGGATCTTGTACAAGGCTGCAGATCAGCSACAGCATCATCTGATCCTTCAAACTTTTCCCCAGGAAAATACAGAAAATACARAAACTMCTTCTCTGGAGAAGGGCTTRTCTTTCCATCCTAGTGCCAGAGTCRAGGAGCAAGTGCCCACCTCAGCAACAGTGTAGGAGAGTTTCAGCCCAACCAGATCGAGTGCCTTTCCCCAACCATTGGCTTTTCCTGTGAGTGCTTGGAGCTCCTGCTCCTGGCTTCCACTAAGGGACCTAGACTAGATGGACTTGGTGCCACTTTCATTCCTGCTGTGAATGTACACTTGACAGTGAAATACTTTGTCCTTTATTGAGCTTCATTCAGCAGTTTTAAATGGTAACACTGACATCTGTGCAAYTTCCAAACCTTCTGGATGTCATATGTTGTTGTACTGTGGGGGCTGCTGAAGGGCCATCTCCTATTTGTCAATTTATAATCTGTACTGAATGGTCTATACTGTTTGTTTCATTTTTGTTTGGGAAGCACCTCCATTCCAAATGCTGCCATATCCACTCCCAAAGTAGTTTTATTTCGTTCCTGAGCATTCACTAAGAAGGCATTGCTAATTATCTGGCAGGATGAGTAAACCAGAATTATTTGAGTGCATTACTCAGCTGTATTCTTTTAATGTTCTTTTTTAAATAGTCCATCGGATGGTCTCCAAGTAGTGCAGGGTGTAACTTGTGGGTGGTAGAACAAACCTGGCATAACAAAAGCTTGGTAGATGGGAGGTTGCAGCCCTTGACATGCAATCCTTTGATCTGTTCTCTGAGAATGTGGGAAAAGAACGTCAGTAATGTACACTGTCCAGCAAGAGCCAACGTGTGAAGCAAGCCAAGGAGAGGACTGTGGCTTGGTGCCATTAGAGGTCACAGCAACCTACTGCTGTTATGGCAGATTTAGGGGAACAGCATTCCTGTTGGAGGGGAAGTCCACTGCCTGTGCATCAGAAGAAGTTCTTCAGATGAAGGAAAATTAAACAACACCACTGTTTTGTTATCCAAGTTGCTTTTACCCTTATAAATTGCCTTGTTCCTTATTCCACTCCAGACGACAATGTTCTCAAAGTAATCACACTCCCTGGCTTGTAACGGTTGGCCAGGGCTGTCAGTGTCCTGACATGTCAAAAACTTCCCCAAATCTCAAAGTRATTGTCAGAGTTTTCTGTTTATCACCTTTGTGTGTCTCACCAGTCAGGTTCAAAGCTCTTTATTTTATGTGGGCTGCCTCGACTCCTGTGTTTGTCCCACACATTTGTTCCTGTTGTTCTGAGGAKGGATGCAGTGGACAAGAACAGAACTCTATTTGAAAGGGTCTCCCCTAACTGTGCTGATTGCAGTAATTAGTGTCTGCCAGGAAAGCTGTTTAAGTTCAATGTGAAAAATCACTTCTTGTAATTTTTCTTAATTTTTCTGTATAATTTTTAATCTTTTGTAAAGAAATTAGGCTTATTTATTAATTTAGACTGGTTGTTTCCTAAGAACTTTTGAACTAGTTGACTGATACATTTAAGTATCTGCAATCTCCCAAGCAAAGATGGAAGGGGGCTAATTGTTCACAATCTTTTACAGTATAAATGAAGCTCAGAGAAGCCATATTCAAAGTCAGGAAAGGGAAGTGATTGAATGTTCTTATGGGTTGAAGAGGATTCTGAGCTCATGGAAGAGAAATCATTGCAGGTTAGCAGATACAAAGAAGTTATATCTGAGATAGGAAATTCCTGATTTGAAAACAGCTAAATAGCAGGAGAGAATTTCAGGGAAATACATCTGTTTTCTTTAGTTTTGTTCACCTCTTAGGCATCTGCTTAAGACCACAGAGTCAGGATTTGGAGGCAGATGTAGTTTGTCAGACCCAGTACAGACATTCTGAAGTTACCAGTACATTTGTAAATCCAGAGTAGCCAGAGCATTGCTGCTTTTTGGCCCTGKCTGGGTCATGGTAAAGGAGTTTGGACCTCTGAGGGAGAGAGAGGTGGAAAAATTAGGCATAAATGACAAAATCTAGTGAGAAACAGACTCAAAAGTTTCCATAGTCAATTGAATTATTTATGTGTAATCATTGTGCTTCTTCAACTTAAKGCATTTAATTTGTGTGTGTGTCTATGCTTGCATAACTGACACCATCTGGTTGCTGCAGCGTTCATGGGGTATCAGTGCAGGCTGTGGTTCCATGGGCATTTCTTTAAGCAGTTACAGTGATTTAACTGAAGAAAGCCAGACTGAGGAACCTAAACTGAAAGTAACCCACAGAATAAAAAGCATCAGTTTTAACCTGGTTCTGTTCCTGCATGCAGCTCATCACTCAGCTGCATAAAAGCCTGTCCAAAGGCAAGCAGTGGCAGTGATCCTGGCCTTTCCATGTCTGAAGTGTTTGTGAAACTGCCATCTCAGGCCAGTGGATATGAAATCACTGCTATAAAATGCACTGTGCTTGTTCCCTGTAACACTCTCCATGCAAGGCAATTGCACACTGCACCAGAATTTGGCACATAACACCGTCTTTCCAGGCTGTGTGTGAAGGTCATTGTCCATAGAAAATAGGAATATTCAGCTTAGTGTTCCTTCCTAATGAGGACCTTTCAGTTCCTTCAAGTAACTGCTTCAGATGCTTTACACCACGTTKTTTCTCGTTTCCATTAGAAGTGAGAACTTGTTTCTAATGTCTTCTTCCTTTCTCCCCAGATAATCTGATCAAAGCCATCCTGTCAGCAACCAAAGATTACCGTCTAACTCCAGCTCTTGACAGGTAAGATGAGACCTTTAGAATGGAAGGATAGAAGTGATTGTTTTCCATGTGTCCTAAATAAATTTTGCTAGACTTTTTTTTTAACCAGAAATTATTGCCAACATTTGGATGTGGACAAGTAAATCAGGAGCTGAAAGCTGAGTCCTTTTTATAGTAAATCAGTAGACTCTGGAGACCTCTGTTAAGTCAAACATAAGTAGAAAAAAGCATTTACCTTTTGACTATATCATACTCTTTTGTTTCATAAGTTGTTACATGATATCCTCTTGCCCTGTTTTCAAATGAGTARATAGCAAGTTTTCAATGAACACTTTTTTCTTTCCCAGCCTTTCTGATAAAGCAACAGGAGCACAAGAAACTTCAGAGGGAAAGAAGGGACTGGCTTATTTCAGCAATGTTTTTCACTAATACCTCGCTCTGAAAGTAGGAATGCTTGATTGTGTTGGCCAAGACAGTGCTAGGATGCACAGGATAGCAATCTCCTGGACCCTGTGGTATTTGAATTGATGCCTTTAGAAGAAGCTCCTTTGATTCTTCAGTCCTGTTGTAGAAGTTGTTTCTGAAACTCACTGGCATGTTTGCAGTCAGCTTCCCAATGATGGTCCTTGATTCTATCCTTGCTTTTCTGTCATTCCTTCCATTTGACCTGCAGTTTTGGTTTAGTGCCATCTCCTGGATTAGGGGTAGGTTTTTCAGARGTTTTTACTGGGACACGAGCTCTTTTCAAAGTCCTTGTAATACTTCTTTCCAGTAGTACTTGACACAAGCTAACAACACAGCTCCTGCTTTCTAAACACATGGGTTTTATTTCCTGGCCCAGCTCCCCTTCTGCCCACTTTTCGTAGCAAAGTTCACAAGCTTTTCYAGCCTTTCCCTAAGTCTCTGCATCTCTCATGCTGATTGAAGAGCTTGCCTGCTGTTACGCTCTGTGTGAAAGTTTATTCTTAGTCTTGCACAGTCTATGTGCTAATTTAGGTTTCTTTGAAGTCTGCCTTGCCTCACAGCAGTGCCAGATAGGGTTAGCCTTCAGACTCTGGATTAATTTGAGAAATTATGTCCAGAAGGTAAAACCATTTTACAAACGACCTTCTTAGAGATTTTGCACACAATTGAGTCTCATCCATCTGGGGTTTATCTCAGTTCTGGTTGGAGARTTAAGATTTTAATCTGTTGAAAAATCCACATATAGGCTCTTTCAGAAGGTTGCTCATAGGAAATCAGTGTTAATGACAGAGGGCAGGTGGAAGATTCTTGCAGTGAAGGTTAATGTGATTGTGACCCTTGCTGCTCACCTGTTTTTTGAGGAGTAAAATATTTCAGGCTTTTAAAAAGTAATTTCACAGGAGATTCTGAAACATAACCACTCTAGCATGAGCTGCTTACTTTGGTTTGTGTTCTTTATGATGGGTTTGTTGCAGATACGTGAAAGATCAATCACTCAAGCCTCGTGAAATGTATGCAGAGTGCCTGAGATACCAAGTGCAAGTGAGACTTAGGAACAGGCCAGACATGTATTTCTGTGCTTTTGCAGTAACAAGGTTTGGTGGTGTGCAAACACACAGGTGTCTTGGGGAAGTGCTGTTTCCTTGGGRGTTGTGATAAATGTGTATCACTGGATGCTGGTTGTGTAGTAGTCCTCTCAGTTAAATACCTCCCAAATCCCTTCTGAATGAGCAGGTCTTAGAAAGAATAAAAACTGAAGTGTGTATGCAAGAGAGGGACAAGAAGGCTTGGGATAGCACACTGCAAAGAGAGAGCCTGAAGGAGCAGGTGGATGGAGTTGCAACAGAGGAGTTATCAGGAGAGCTCTTGGTAACCACAGGAGGTGTTAAAGCTGCCATAGGGCTGCTCTGAGAAACCTGCTTGGTGAAAGGGCATGGATGAAGACTTGGGTATGGCTCCAGAAATGTTCTTCAGCTGTGGTCATCCCTGAATGCCAGTGCTGGCAGCAATGGGTGTCTGCCATTCTGGATTCCTGCAAAGCTGATGGGGCAGACTGGTGGAAGAAGATGAGCTGCTTCCTCATCTTGCCTCAAGCTCCAAGCAGATCCTAGCAGTTCCTCTCCATGGCAGAACCAGTGTGCTGGGAGCAGAGCCTCGACTTTGGCTACTCCAGTCCTACTCACTGGTCAAGGAAACAGCCCAGACCTCTCCCCTTTGCTCACCAGCTTGGAGCAACTGGAGAAGGTCTGACTTAGGGGACCTTGAAATGTTCCTTCCAACCCAAACCATTGGTTCTATGATAAAGGACTGAGAAAATGTGTTACTGTGAAAGAATTAGATAAGAGACAYAACTCAAGTCTGTGATGTCCAAGGGGTTGGGCTTGGGAGGTCTTGTGAACCCTTCCACTTGTGGGCTCTCAGAGGTCTAGTGGGCTGATTCTAAAAGCAGGAAAACAGCTTCAGGTTCACCCTCTCTTCAGGATGGAGTTATACCAGCATTATCTCTGTTGGCAAAGCCAACAGAGATAGTCTAAGAAGCCTTATTTGCCACTGCTGCTGCTTTTCTCCTTGTGCTGCTGCTATTGTTTGAAAARGGACTTTAAAATGGATCAGTGAGATGATTCCAGTTTATGAGTTTTTCTCCTAACTCGGGTCATTCCACTGACTTCATTTCCAGAGCTCCCCTCCCATGCAGAGTTGTGTGGGCACAGAGCTGAAATGGCAGCAGGAGAGGCAGAAGCTGGGCAGGGTGGGGAAGGTGAGCTCTGCCCAGCCCATCAGAATAAGTGTTCGTGTAACCRTGAAGGCAGCTTTCCCAGGGGAAGGGTGGGAGAGGCAGGAAAGGTGAGGTCAGAGCAGTGCGTGAGAGCATAGGAAGGAAAGAGAGGATTAGAGTTGTGTGGTGGAGGATGTCTACACCAAGCCTTCRGTCTTGGTTCCTACCCAAGCTTCTCCATTTCTGCCCTCGGTCACAAGGCTGGTCCTTGAGATGTTGCATTCACTTGCCTCTCATAAGCCCTGGAAATTACCTTGTTTGTTTGCTTATCCCTGTGCTAAAGGGCATCCTGATGCACCTTTCCTGACACAATGTACTGACATGGTGCTGAAATGAGGCAAACGTGATCCTTCCGGGTTTGCATGCACTTTTCATCATCCCACAGCAGCTTTGCCAACTCACTTCAACTAATCCCTCCATTGTGTTAAACCAGCAGCAGCTGGAGGGCATGTGAACAAAGGTTGTGCTTCACACCTGTAGCACAGYGTACCTGGTGCCCTGCTTTCTTCAGGGCTCCTCATTATGGCACCGCTGTGTTGAACGGTAACCTGCTCCTGCTCTGGGGCAGAGGATGGGTAAAGCTGCAGTGGTTTTTGGGAGAGCAGGTACAACTCACCCCTGAGCTTGTCTGGAAAAGATTGGAGACCCAGAGGACTCTCGAGAACCACTGACCTCTTCCTTCAGAGCTGCCATGTCTTTCTCCCTACACAGATGTTGCTGGGCCTCGTCCTTGAAACTTCTTGCCCTCCATTGGCTTTTCCAGGCCTTCTTATATTGTTGACATTTTCACTGCTTGATTTAGTGGCTCCTTCAGTGGCCTGTCCCTCATTCTGCAAATGGATTAGGGTTTGGTTTTTAATTGCGCAGCCCATCTGCTGGCTGGGCTTCAATGGATTTTCTGGTTACACCTCTGTGGTGATGACATGTGAATTTCCTATGAAAAAACATAAATATGAAAACCTGCCTGACCTTTTTTGTATTGCCTCCAGGTGGTAATGAAAGAAAACTGAGAATTTGAGCTTATAACTATCACAGTCTTTACTTAGTCAGTGTAATACCTCAACGAGTGAAAAAGGAATTTGACAGAGATAGAGAGATGTATGTGTCCCTCTGGTTCAGGTTGATAACACCCATTTAAGTAACAGCAGCCAGATCAAACCAGAATATTCTAAACCTCCTTAAGCACCAGCTCCCCTAAAGATGTATTTTTTAATTAATTCTGTYATATCTTTCCTCAAAGCCTTTCGTTCCAAAGTTGCGTAAAGAAAGGCTTTGTGGTTTTTCACTCCTGACAAATCCCTAAAGCACTTCAGTAAGAGAGGAAGAGGAAGTAGGAATTGCTACAACGCATACGTGTGTTTACAGTGCTATATTGTTCAAGAAAATCTGCATGAATCCTGCTTGTGGTGTAGATGAACTCARCCTTGGAGTATCTGTGTCAAAAGTCTGTACATCTGGCTGCAGCTCCCAGCTCAGGGCTTTAGGGAATCTCTGTAGTGGAAAGTCCATGACCATCCTTCCTACCACCCTGGTAGCAAACTGAAACCTGGGCTKTGTCTGATGTGTTCAGTCCTCGAGCTCTTGTGGAAAAGAAACAGAGCTTTGACATACTATGTAAACAAGCACAAAGGTGTTTGCACACTTCTTTGTGGAGAAACAATTGAGCTGTAACCGATGCTGCTTTCACCGTGTGTTTCTTTACCCAGAAACTTGCCYGGAGCCAGCAATGACTGTGCAGGTTTCCCATGCTCAGGCATCATCAGTAGACACAGCACGAGTGAAAGAAATTTAAGCTGTTAGAAGATCAAAGATGAGACCTTAGGGTCAGAAAGTTACTAATGAAAAATCTTATCTGCAGACTTAAGGATAAAGGAGAATGCATTTAAATGTGGCAGGACTATGAGGGTGGAAGAGCAGTTCAGACGTGAAGCTGGGCAAAAGTGATTAACCTATCAGTTACAATGAGTAAAGGCAGAACCATTCAGTTAAGTATTTGTTTCATTTTTGGCGGTAAAAATAGAATGATGTCTCATTTTTACAGCAACAATGAAATACTTTTTGAATTTTTTATTAGTAAAAACAAGGATATTAAATGACAATTATCTGTCTCTTAAAGTCAGTAAGAACTGAAGTGTTTAAAGAGTTGAATGAAGAATTCTTTTTGTTATTACTATTTGCTTTTTAGCCCTTCTTGGAATGTTTGATAGAACAACAAATGTTGTGCCATTCCTGGAGAAATATGGGAGATAATAAAGAGATGGCTATAAGTTGATTTCCTTTTTTTGCAGGAAAAATCCTGCAGAGGACAGAGCTAGGATGGCAGCACAACTGATGTTATGTTACTTTGGGTTTGTGGAAATGAGATCTTGCCATGTAGAGGGTATATTTTTTAGATGAACTAGAAGCCTGATTGATAAAGGTCATTTTTTAAAGGCACACCTTAGTTGTCTCAGTCCATTATGTTCTGATTCTATACCGCACCATTTAGAGGTGTCCTTTTTAGGAGTAAGGTATGTTACACAGCTTAGAAAAGTTATTGTCAGAGTTGAGAATTAATCCTTTAGTGACACTTCCAGTGTAATCCTGCTGACATGTGTTCACAGGGGCTGAAAACAGTCTGGAGTACATGTAAAATTACACAAAGAAAATCTGCCAGAACCAAAGACAGGGAAAGTAACAAGTAGGGCCAGGTCAGTCTTTGCTGCTTTATTGGATCCTTCTCTGGAGCCAAATCAAAAATCAGGTATCACAGAGGAGACAATGCAGGTCATGTTTACAAGACGAGGATTATATTCTGCAATCCAATCCCCCTGTAAGAAGAGGATTGGAATGATGTAAGTAAAATCTCTGTGTAAAAGGCACTCTGCCTTGAGCAGCATTAGCTCCACATGCTGGTCTTCCAGAATCAGTACTTAGGAGATCTGGAGAGAAGTGGAAAATTGTTCAGAGAGGTACTCCTAGTGTGACTCAAGACTTAGAAGAGCTGCCATACCGTGCAAGATATGATGAGCTCAGTCCAGTTTGTATGGTCAGTAGAAGGTTAGGAATGGGCTTTGATCAGTCTGAGTCCTGTGTGGGAGCAGGGCCATGAAGCTGCTGGAACAGCTTTGGCTGGTGGAACTGGTTCTTTTATCTCATGTGCAGCAGCTCGAGCTCATCAGTCTGTCCTGTGAGAGGCAAATGTTTATGCACTGGGCTTTGTCTGTAAGTGTATCTCGTGCAGATGTGGAAGGGACTACTGACAGTAGATGGTGCTTTAATTTAGCAGAAAAGCAAAGAAAACTATTAAGTGGTTTCAGGCTGAAACGAGCGGATCTGTATTCAGAATTGGTAAGACATCCTTACAGTAAGTGGGAAAAGGATAGAGCAAAGTGCTTGGAGCCTGCAGCCTTTGAATTTCAGCATAATATTCTTCAAAACAGAAAATTCAAAGTCAAAGCTGAGAGACAGCTGAGTAGAGAAATTACAGTATCTTACCCAGCAGTCAKCTGTTTAGGAGGTCAAACTTTCCATCATAATCATCAAAAGGGTGTATTTCTATATGAAATGTCACTTGGCCAGAACTGAACTATGTCTCTTCTTCCCTCCTGTAGTACCTTTTCTTTAAGGGTTTAGACAAAGCTGTTACCATCTTTGCCACTTGTTTCAGTGGCAAAAGTGCTGGCAAAAGTAAGCACTTGGGGCTGACTCTCCTTTTCCTCTGTCACAATGTATTGTTTGAACCAGATCTCGTGTCTGCTTTCTCCTTGTTGCCAGAATTTTTTTTTTTTGCTATGCCATAGTCTATAAAATTCTTTCTTTTCTCCATTGTGGCTTGACTATCACAAACACACGTGCTTATTCAGCCCTTGGGGACACTGGACTAATACGTCCATCTGCCTGAGGAAGTTTTTTTCTTTTGGAAAGGCTTGGATCTGCAGTGGAACTTTATCTGGGCARTGGAAGCTGCTCCTGAGCATTCCTTGGTGCTGTTAATTCTGCACGTGTCTCCAGCTAATGGCTCTGTCAGCAGAGTGACCCTCAGTGGTTTAGCTGAGCCTTTAGAGTGCACTCCAGCCCTGCTCTGCAAAAAGGGACCCCACATAAGCAGAGCTTTCCTCATGTTTTAGGCTTTCCTCTTTAGGCTTATCACAGAGAGGACAGCCTAAAAGAGACCAGTTGACTGTGCCTGGGACTAGGAAGGCTGCCTAGCCCAGGGATCTGCTCCAAACAACTGATTGCCTTGGATCCTTTCCGGAAAAGGCTCTGCAGACACGTATTCCTTCAGTGAACTACCAGAGATGGAGGCACATTGCCAGAAGAGCCAGCTGCATTTGGGATTAGATGGCTGGAAAGAAGTCCTTTCACTGTCTTCAAAACAAAATCGCTTTTTAACATCTGCTGCAGAGTTCTCGTGACTCGGGGTTCCACGAGAAACTGTTCTCTTCCTTCTCCTTCCTGTTTCTTTGTTAATTAAGGTTATTTTCCTTCCCTTTCCTCACCTATTGTGTCTCCATATATGTTTCCTACTGGACAGGCGTGCATGTGGGGTTTTTTTTCCTTCTCAATTTAATGTTTTTCTGCCTCTTGAAGTCTCACGATAACAGCAGCAATTTTGCCCTCAGCAAGGTGAGCACACCCCAGATAACCTGGCAGATCTGCCTACACTCATAAAATTGCTTGGAGAGAAGACTTCCTCACTAAGCCTTTGGTTTATTGTTATTTCAGCGCTGAATGAATAATGAGACAGTTTAAGTAAACAGAGGGGTTTGATTCAAGCCCATCATACCAGGGGTGTGGGGGGAGAGGAGCTGCTTGTCCTGACAGCTCATCTCATTAGGCCACACGTGGTGCGAGGTGTTGAAAGCAGTTTATCACGTGTAATGCCTGGGCATGATGAGGTGAGCTGSGGATCAAGTGTATCTCTGTCCCCCTCTTAATTCTTAATATTTTCGGAGGTTTGCTGTAGCTCTCAGATGTGTGCAARCTAAATATGTGCTCTCTGTGTGTTTGATGTTCTGTTACAAAAATCACCTCTCTCCTCTGTTTCTTCCACAGTCTCAGCTGCCGGCGATGTATTATTGTGGGAAATGGAGGAGTACTCGCAAATAAGTCATTGGGGCTAAAAATTGATGACTATGATGTTGTCGTCAGGTGAGTCTTTGGCATTACAGTTTTCTTGTCACTATTCAGTTTCTGTAGCAGCTCACTTGCTATGCAGGCAAACTTTAACCTGTACTGGTGACAGTATCCATTCGTATGGAAGCATTAACTTACCGGGAGGGGAAAATAGACATGAGCTTATAAAGGTTTGTTCTAAATCATGATCACATCGATGGGTAAAGGTGCTCCTTGAGCTTTCTATTTTCCACAGCTTCTTGGGAATGTGGTCTCRTGTACGATATCATTTGAACCTTCCCTTCATAGCTCCTCTCTAAAAGCTGCTGCTTTTGTGATGCCCTTAGGTGGTGAAGCAGTAACTCACACTGTTGGATCTGCTCCCAGGTRTGTCCCCTGGGTAGCTCAGGGAAGTATTATTGATCATACACGTGTAGCATTCCCCGGGARCTACACCTCACATTTCGGATGGGCAGGACTAAGAATGGTGCTGCACAGGATTTTGGGAAGCAGGAAGCCTCTATGAGAGGGGACTCAATAGTGATTAAACGCCTGTAAATGTACCTAGAAACTGGCAATACTCTGGCTCTGTGTCTCTGCAGATCAGGATGTTGAATAGGGGAGCAGCAGAGTGGTGGGAGTGCAAAGGACCACAGTCAAAGTCAGGACTTCTTGTTTTTGCTGAGGACCTGGATCTTCGCCATCTCAGAATGCTTGAAAAACGTGCTGATATGTGAAATCACATGTCTAGTCATAACTCTTAGTAATAAATCTGTCAAGTCAGGGAGGCGTTCTGGGTGATTGGAGATTAACAAACATAATACCTGTACTAATGGAGAGTGAGAGAGTGTGTGTAGGAGGGAGGGAGGATGTGCTCTAGGGAGCTACAGACCCATTAGTCTGACCTGAAAAAAATGCAGAGTTTTCCAGCAGGTTTTGAGTCATGAGTGACAAAATATTATGATGGTAAATAATAAAAGTGGGATAAACCGCAATGTAAGTTTATAAAACTGGTTCAACATAGTCTAAGTTGGTATTTTTTCCATAGTAATATAAGTGATTTCATATTATAGGAAATGTACCTGATACCATCTCACTCAACTTTAGCCAGCTTTAAGATGTGATGGCAAATATCAAATTCTTAGCTAAGGTGGAAGAAAGGAAGGGATTACTAAAAGAATTTAAGGCAGGCATTATTTAGCACGGTCTCTATTCTCTCCCATGTGTTGTGGAAGAATAGAACATACTGAGAGAAATAAATATCCTCTGACTCTGGACAAGACCAAGAAGATCCTTTCAGTCTTTGGTTCTTGTGAATAATTCCCTGCTTCTCCATCAGTGTGCTGGACACAGGAATGGCTGTTTAGAACAAGACAAAATTTTTACTGCCCTTCTCCTAGTTCATCCCACTGTCAGCTGTTAACAAAGAGCTCTTACTACTCGTCATAGTCTGGTGATTTGTAGTTATTTCAGCTGAATTAAGTGCAGTTATAGCCTTACCTTGGGCTCAGATTGTTCAMAAAGTAGCAAAAGAATGGTTTCAATCCATCTGGACTAAGCCACCCACTAAGATTTACATCAGAAAGTCCACTATTTAATTTCCAAATGAAAAGTTCAACTTTTTCTCTCCACATCAGTAAATCTATGTCAGTTTGCAAGCTGAGAGGATAAGAGGGCAGCTAAGCACCTGTGCTGTTGGTGGGATGGATAAAGGAGAGAGAAGTCAACTGTAAAGGTTAAATGAAGCCAGGTGCTTGGATATGTCTCCAACTGCTTGCTTTATTGCTGGGGAAGTCCCATGTATTATAACATCCTTTTTCATCTACTGCAGAACTCCTTTGAAGGATAATGTTTGGGACCTAGGGAGTGAATTTTAAGTGGAAAAAATGGAGTACATTAATGGACAAAGGAGTGATCCAGCAGTATGTGGAGTTCTTTGATGCCTCATGTGTTAACATGTGAGGATTGCTAATTGCAGCAAGAAATTTTATTCTTGTGGTGAAGATAGTCCAATTCAGCTTTGTCAGTTCTAAAAGAGCTTGGAGTGAGTTGGTGTTTTTCTTTAACCAGGCATTATCAGATTTCAGTGCAGATGTTATTCCCAGCTGTCACATTGTTTACCTGGCAGAACTTCTCGCAGCAGTCAGTCCTCAGTGCTCTGAAATGCCTGCCTAGAACAGATTGCAGACAGGGCAAAAATAAGTGTGTATCAGAAATTCCTGATTAGAACCAGATAGGGACCCTCCTGATGGTGATACTTGAGTGATATCTGAAAGGATGTTCATGGTGCCAAGGAGTCAGTGTCTCTTAGCTCTGTGTGTGATCAGAGAACATAGACAGAAAAACACTGAAACTTCTTATGGAGAAAACTGCCTGTCCATTGGCAGCACAAGGAGGCCTCCTAACATCCTGACATCCTAACTGAGCTTTTCCAAGCTTTAGMTGTATTTCTAACCACCAGTGCATCCTGCCTGGGAAGGGGTTTGAGCTGTGGAGTCTGCACCTTTGTGGACACAGGCTCTGGCTGCCAGAACTTTTCCTGCTCCATTGACCTCACTGCCCTCGGGGCACTGCCCTGGGTTTGGTGGTGCTGGCTCCATCACTGGGGCTCCACAGGAGCTCACACTTTGGCCCTTTGCTGCAGACCTGAATTMATTTCACTTGGGGAAATGGTTCGTTTTATTTCTTGTCTAGATCCAAAGTAGGGTTCCCAAGTTTTGGGAGTGTTAATGAAGCAGCAAAACAGTGAACCCAGCAGTTGGGGATGGGAAAAACCTGCCAAAGAGCTATGCAGTGACATTTGAAGCAACTGCAGATACCTCCTCATCCTAAATAAACAGATAGAAATATGTAAAACTAGCTTTCTTTGCATAGTATTCACAGTATTGATAGTATTCTGTTACCTTTATAGCCACATGCTTTTGCTTTATATAAAGTCATCTGCCCCAAAAAGACACAACACCTTAAGGTTTAAATACTGCCCTTAGGAAAAGTGAGTGATGTGTGAATGCACCCTTAGCTAGAGAGGAAAAAGTAAGGGTTCAGGCTGGCTGGGAGCATTGTCAGGTCTAGTTACTTCAGAGTCAGGACACAAAACTAGTGTTTATAAACCATGGAAAGATATTTAATCTGCTGTATAAATTGTGGTGGTGCTGATTCTTAAGYTGTTTTGCCTTTAATATTTTATTGCTAATGACAAAGTAAATATTTTTGCTAGAAACACATASGAGTTTATTCCTCTAAATTTTGAATATAATTTCAGATTTTATAGAAACTTTTCTTCTAGTAAAAGGTTTCCAATGTAAAATGATTATCCAGGCTGAAATGCACAAATCCAGATTCTACATTAACATTCCTACATGGCAAAATTTGCAGTCCATAAGCACTTTCCAGTATATTGAACTGCACCAAGTCAARAATGCTGCAATAATTCAAGCAGGCAATGCTGTTCCATCAGGGGCTGGTGTTTGGTGTCAGCAATATTTGTATTCCAAGTTACATGAAGTTTTCTCAGCTTTGTGTTTTTAGTTTTGAATAGAAGTTCTGAAAACTTTAACGTTATAAAAGTGATCATTGCTGTTCATGCCCAAGCAGTTTGCTTTTTCAAGGGAAAAAGCTCTTTTTTTTCCTGAGGAAGGTTTTAACAACAGCATAGCTAAAAACACAGCATCTCCTTAGAAATCAGTGTCYCCAAGAGCAAAGCTGTGTGGTTTGAGTGTTTCTGGAGTGGGATGCACTTCCACAGCACAAACTCTTTGGAGTCAGTGAGACTGCAGTGGTGCTGAGTCTTCTCCCAGCCCAACCATCTCCTTTGTGTTGGCATTGCAGGGTAATTCACCCTCTACATCAGCCAGTTTGGGGAATTAAACCAGATGAAGATTGTTCCTTTGGGTTTTGAGGAGTTTTTTTGAGAATTATTAGTTGGCTAAGCAGCCTCACTGCATATAACAGGAGCAGTGTAGGGTCTGGACTGGGGCTGGAGCATGAGACAGTTTCAGTTTGTTTAAACTGATGCGGAGCTGCATCAGCACAATCTTGCAGAACCCAATCACAGGAGCAATGGGCTGTTAAAATATTAATGCTTAGTTTGTTACTCTAAATTTACAAGGACAATATTTTTCACTTTCCTTTTCCAAAGCTTCCAACTCTATTTAAATCACCAGAGTGGATATGCAGAAGTGGTTCGCATTATAATCAATGATAGAATTTAAGTAGCTTCTAATTAAGCTGTTGTCACTTGGTACAAACCCCCATAAGTGTTTGTGATGAAGAATGTGAGAGTTGACATTTGCTGCTGCAGCAGCTGCTACAGGGAGCTCTTGCCTAGCAGTGATTGCTGTGTCATCAATACATAGGAATGTGAGTGGGGATCTGAGTGTGAGTGGGGATCTGAGTGTGAGTGGAATCCGTGACTGTGTCTTCTCTGGTGTCCTTGCAGGCTGAACTCGGCTCCGGTGAAGGGCTTTGAAAAAGATGTGGGTGGCAAGACAACGCTCCGGATCACATATCCTGAAGGTGCAATCCAGAAAATGGAGCAGTATGAGAAGGATTCCCTGTTTGTTCTGGCAGGATTCAAATGGCAGGATTTCAAGTGGCTGAAATACATTGTTTACAAGGAGAAAGTGGTAAGAACGCTGTCAGCTGATGCTGTGAAGGTCACCTAATTAGTAACAGTGGGAAAACATTATATCACCATCATATTTGCCACATTTTGGTCTGAGGAGAGTTCCACTGTGTGTCCTGCTGCATTTAAGTGAAGACTTCCTTTACCAACATGGACTTCAGCTTTAATTAAATACTTTTTACAAAGACATCCCTCTGCAACCTGACCTTGCATCACAGATGAGGCTTGCTATTCAAGATTGTTAGAGTTTACTATGAACAATTAAGTTAATTTTTAATTTTCTATAAGAGTACTGAAAAGGAACCGGCTTTTGCATGAATTTTATGGACTGTTAGGATTTAAGAGCAGAGGAAGGAAAAGAGCAATGGGAAGGGGAAGAAATGGGAGTTTGGGGCAAGGATGTGATGTCACAGGAGGGGAGGAGGAGACAATTTGTTGAAAAGGCTACAGTCAGACTTAATGTGACCTTCTGGATAGCACAAGCCATTATATTTTGCTCAGTTACTGAGATTCATGATTTGTGTTTGGTTCGAGTGTCACCCAGAACAACAGTATCAAGTCTCATTTTACAACACTGCRATGGTGAATACACTGCTTTCCCCGTGTAAATATTTTACCCACTCATTTGCCTTTCTGAAGCACTATGGACCTGCTAATAGTCAGGGTTGCTGTCTGTAATTCACCTACCCARAGTGGGATCAGGCTGTGATCAATGAGTTCTCATTCAGTGGATGGTTTGTCCATGTCAGGAAATCCCAAATAAATAATGGRTATTGTTGKKTTTTTTTATAAATCTTATATATGCRTTTTCAAATGTTGCTTAATGATTTTTCAGCAAATAACAAGACAAATGGATTAGCATTCAGGGGATGTGTTTAGATACAGAGAGAGGAGGTTGGCAGCTCACCACACACAGAACGAAACAGTCTGGGGATATAATTGTATACGCTTGTTACAGAGATGGCCTTAAGGGCTCATACTTTGCTCCTGTCTAACTCTGGCACCAACTTGCAATTATTATCCTGGTACCAGACAGATGAAGTTACCTATCAGCCTCTGGGCAACCACAAGCGGGCTTTCGTAACATGAATAATTGAGTCAAAAGTAATTTTCTTTGCTTTATATCAGGCTCGTGTTCCTCATTCAGGGAAAGGGAAAGCCCTGGCAGTGTCAGTGCCCTGCAGTCTGAATGCACTTGCTGGGACTCCCAGTGTTCAGATTGAAGTTCAAAGGATGGGTTGGTTAACTTCAAAATAAATTGAATTCTCACCTGATGCTTGCAGTCAAGTCATCATCACTGGATTCTTGTGTGGTATCCCCTCCCCTTGGAAAGATGCAGCAAAGTCTGTTAAAACTTGCTAGACAGGGAAGAGTGATTGCAGTTCTCTTAACTGAGTTCTTCAGTGCCCAGCTTGGCAGAGAGCAGAAAGACCTTGAGCTTTGTGCATTACTTCAGTGTTTTTGTGATTGGCTCCTTATCCWTCAGTTCTTCAGAATAAACACTCTGGAGTTTTTTCAGTTCTTTTAGGTGACGTTTTCCAGATCTCTTAATTTCCTTTGCTCTTTTGAATGCTTGTGGTTAATTCATCTTTTTCTTAAAGAGCAATGGCCGAAAATGTACAGACTACAGCAAAAAGGAGGAGCAAACAGTTAATTCATTAACCTCACAGTTCTCACCCTTTCTACAGTTGATGGCCTTTTCCACAGTGGCATTGAACTGAAGGTGAGTGTCAGGTTCCTGGAGACTCCAGGTSTCAGGAAGAGCTGGGGAGCAGCCACTTCCCTCTCTCCACACCCCGTGCATGTGCTGTTGGCTCCTCGTGCCAAAGAACAGCGCTGTGCACTTGTCCCTACTGATCCTTTCTTCCAGAACACTCCTCCAGTTTGCCAAGTTCCTTTGGCAGAGCTTCTCAGCATACCTGCCATTCTTTCCAGATTCATGTCTTCTGCAATTTAATAAACATCCTTTTTACTCCATCATCCAGGKTGATAATGAAAACACTAAACAACGCTGGTTCCTAGGCAGACCCYGAGGTATTAACATCCTTCCATTTCTAGAGTGAGCCCACTGAGAACTTCTGGATGGTTTTTTGGCCACTTCCGAAGTTGTATCACAGTTGTATCAGCAATAACATTTTTGGCATGTTTGTGAAAGTGATCTGTCAGAAGCTTTACTGAATTCCAGTTCATGTCTTGCTGCTTCCCTATGGCAATTTTTCATCTGTATAAAGAATTTTTAAAAAAATTAATTCACTCTTGACAAATTCACCTGGGTTGCTACCTCAGTCGTTTTTGGTTTTTGGTTTTTTTTTCCCAGGTGCTTACAAATAATTAATCCTGCTGTTCTGGTAATTGAAAGAATAATTCAGCTCCCTTCCCTTTTTTTGCGTTATTAAGGCTAGGTACCAATTTTGTCCATTTTTCAATCCTTTGATCCCCTACCTGTTCTACACAAGTCCCCAAAGAGAATCAATGCTAGTTCTTGAGGCTGCTGAGCCRGTTCATCAAATACTTTAGGGTGTAGCCCAGGTGACTGGAAAACATCTGTGCTCTCTAGTATGATTTCTCTCTGTTTGAGGCTGAGATGTTGCTGTCACTGGCTTTAGCTRCAAACAGGTGGCTCACACAGCTGCTTTTTCTAGAGAAAACCAATGCAATGCTGTCTCTCACATAGAAATSGCCCAGTGGAGAACTAGCACGTGGGTGTCTGTTTGTTCTGGTAGTGAGTGTCAGTATTTTTATGAGTATGTGGTAAGTTCAAAAGGACAAATGCCTGTCCAGTGCTCTCTGTTGAGAGTTTGTTTCTCTCTCAGCTGTTTTTCCAGAGAAAAGGGGAGTTTCTTCCTTTTCTGGGTTTATCCAGAGGCATATYTTGCATGGCCTGAGAGCTCTGTGTGCCACTGTCCCTTATTCCTTACCTGACATGTGCCTCTGCAAAACTTCATCCCTGTTGCTAACCAGTGGTTACAGTCAGGAGTCTGACCTGAGGATGGAAAAAGGGAAAATGGAAGTATCCTGCAAAAGAACACAAGTGCCGTGGAAGTTGACACATTCCTCAATTAAAAAAAAAAAAGAAAAAAAAAAAGGGCTGATCTCTGCCCTCTGATGTTTCCTTTGTCTGTGACTGTTGATGGCAACTGCACATATCTGTGACAGTCACAGCTGGGGTATGAGACCTTCTGAATTCCTTCAGACACCTGGAGTAGCTTGGACATGCTTGACCAGAGATTCCAGGCCAGGTACTTGATCAGGGGATCCTTGCTTAGTCCTCTCTTGAGTAAGTGAAATCAAAGGGAGTTTATCTGAGGAAAAGTAAATGAAAGGCAAATGGCTATTTATTGCTTGTTCAGTGGTCAGATAAGCTTATYCTCCCTGCAGCTGAGAGGGATTTGCTCTGTGTTGTGTTAGTCTTTTGGCAGCATTTGCATTCTGAGGAAGGGATAAGTGCTTTGTAGTGAGGAGGATTTTCAGGAGATGTTATAAGGAAAAAGAATCAGTGTGATGCAGAAGCAGCAGCAGAACAGTGGGGCAGGGGATTTGATGTGTTATAGAGTCTGGTGTAACAACCTCCCGGAGATCTGTGTGATGCTTTAGTGCCCTGGGAGTGCTACATCCACAAACAGGAGCAGTGGAATACAGACCAAAGAAYAAGTAAAAGATTAACTGCTTTTTATTTCACACTAAATCAGAAATATCTGGAAGCAAGTAAAAACTTGAGACAAAACATTCATCTAGAAAAGGGACAGGTTTGGCTAAATATTCACTGTCTGCAGCAAAACAAAGGTAGTCTCCATCACAGAGTTCTGGCTGAGCTGGCACTCCAGCTTGCAATCTTGTAGGAAGTTAGAGCAGTAGGGTATCCCTAGAGAATGTAGACCTGCCTTTAAGAAGGGGAAGGGTGAGTGAGTGACTAAAATCCTGGTAATCTGATTTCAGTCATTTACAAGCATGAGAATAAACTAAAGGAGAAAATCATTGCGCCTCAGCTAAAAGAGTGTGGGGTGAAGAAAGGTGACACAGCTATCAGAGGCGAGTATTGCACCATGGTGACCTAATGTGTCATTGCACAAGGGCAAGGGAAGTGGTTTGAGCCCCACAGGCTGCAGCTGCTGTTGCAGAAGGGTCACAGATGTGAGCTGCTCATGTGTTTGTCGTGACTGGTCTGGCAGTGCTGCCTTGGGATCATTGCTGTACGAGCYTGTGACACTTTCAGACACCCCTTTGCTGATGAAACAACTGCTGCCGTTGCATCCCCAGAGGGGGATTACTCGTGGATAGTCACTCAGAGTGGTTACACTTTCTCCTGGACTGTTATTTTTGCCAAGAGACATTATCTATATATATTGTGATCCACCCTGCTGCTTCCCACTGCTTGTAACCTTTTGCATCTTCCTGTGTCTCTCAGTGACAGAAACTCTTTCTGAATGCACAAAGTACCAGAGACTGAGGGAGGTTTGGTCATACCTTGCTCTTCTTAAAATAATGCTCAAAAGCTGAACGTTTGGTTATTGCATGGAGAATAGATGCTTCCTGAAACAAACAGGAATTTACGAGTTCCAGATATGCAAAGCAGCCATCTCAGCCTGGTGCTGAGGCCAGTTCCAGGGTTTTTTCTTGCCTATGATTCACAAATTGAGGGAGCTGTCTTGCTTGCTAGGGCTCACTTCCCTGAACATCTGGCACATGGCAATAAAGCAGCCAAGTGAGGCCAAAGGTGCCACTAGAAATTGGCAGCTCCCAAGCTTCCTGCTCGTGTAGTAATGAGCCTGTGAATGATTTCAGTGGGGATCTCTGCAGCCTTTGCCAGGAGGAGTCACTTGTGCAGAAAGCGCCTGCGGCTCCTTGAAGTTCTCTTTGATAGTGAAAGTCACAGGAGCAAGTGAGCACCTGCCTGCGAGYGAGGCCAGCCTGGGGTGTCTGTCCCTTGCAGGGACATGTCCCTGGCAACCTGCACACAGCAATGCTGCCCAACAGCCAATGCCCTCCAGCAGCGGGCAGGAC